TCATAGTTTTTTTTAATTTAATTTTTTATCTCATACTTTGAATGATAACATTATTTTTGTGTTAATTGTATTAAATTTAAATAATACTTATTATTTATTACGTCATCCGGTTCGACCCCGGTTAGACCGGTCGAACCGTGAACCTCTCCTTGTTCCGGTTCGTTGTTCGGTCCGGTTTTCAAAACCTTGGCAGATAGGACATGTTCTGTACAAGGTTAGAGAAAATAGAGGCTTCCCTGGTAAGTGCACATAGAGATGATCCGAGCAAGCCTACTTTTCATCCACTTTTTTTGGAAGTTATAAGAAAAAGGTAAGATAAGCACATAAAGCTTGTCGAATCAAAGAAAAAGGTAAGATGCTGGTGCAGTGAACTTAACAAAAAGCAATCATGATATATAACTCAGAGTCATTCCTAACTCAAAGGCCAAAGACATGAATTAATTATCAAGTTCAAAGAAAATAAGCATTCACTCTTGGTTGTTGAATCTATTGATTATCATATTTTATCAAATAATTTATTCAAAAAATACTCTTTCAATATTATAAGTTTTGAAGATAAATGCAAGTTGTCATTGTTGAAGGATGTTAGTTCTTTTTACACATCGAAGTTAGATCATTTTCTTCTATACCTCGGATAAAATTTTGAACAATCCGACCGTCCATATGTTGATGTTTGATTGGGTATTTTGCTAAGTCAGATTAAGCCATTATGCCCAGCCAAACAGCCCATTTGGCATTCCCTATACCAAACGCATTTTATCTGTCTCTTGCAGAGAACCAAGAACAAAAACACTCCTTGTGGAATCTGATAATTGGAAACAGTAAAAATGCTTGAAACTGTGGAAGGGTCATTATCAATTGAATGCAAAATGTGATTAGGGAAATCTATCATCATGGATCAAAGATTCAAAACTTCATTCAAAGCAGCAAACGTAAGCGAACCCACTGGAATTACTTAAGAGCAACAAAGGCTGTTCAATATGCAATCCAACAAATACATTCTAAAAACTCTCATTGCACCAAATAAAAGCATTACCAATGTGCTTCTGCCAACATGGCAAAGCCACTAACCATGTTTCACATATGATTCCTGGCACGCACAAGCAATTAGTTTTACTTATTAAGAGTGAGGTTTAGGGCATAGCACCTTGCTACAACAGCTTTAGCACAATATTACTAAACAAACTTGATTGGAAAACTTGCAATATTATTAATGGTCACTATTTTCAAATATTTAAAGCAAACAAAAAAGGCAGTCCAATTATTAAAAGTAGGCCACTGATTATTCAAATAGTTACCTTACTAAAGATTATAATCATTAAAAAAATGTAGAACAATGAGATATTTCAAACTGATTTATGCATTACGAGCACACATTGAGAAACAACAAATAGTTTCTTACCGTTCTTTCAAGAACACCAGGAGGACCATCAATGATCTTAATACGAGCTTTTGATTCCTCGCACATTTTTTTTATTGTCTCCCCTTTTCGCCCAATAATGCTACCTACTTTATGGGCAGGAATCAGTATTCTAAAAACATTCTCACCAGGCCAGCCAGGCCATCTTTTTTCACCAGCTCCAGCTCCCACATTATCCACACTTCCTTCCTTCAGGTTGCCTGAGTTCCCCATTGACTCAGCAACATTATTTTCAGAAAATTTGTCCTCCGGTGTATGTGCATCCATACTGTATAGAACTGAATATGGCATTGGCAATAAGTATTTTTATTCAGATGTCATGTAAAGATAACATGTATTGGGACAATTAATAAGAATCAAATTAAACAGTCAGCCACAGAACGAATGAGTGGGGTAAAAGGATGAAAAAAATGATCAGTTTAAAAGAAGGAAACAAACAGGAAGATTGGGTGAAATACTCAGATAGGATATTCTATCCGAAGAAATGGGAAACAATAAAGCACAGAGAAAAGTAAGTCATTCAGATCATTGAACTTAAATTAAATGGAACAAAGTACTATCTTGTAAAATTACAATGCCTATTCAAAAATAATTAATACATGCTCAAGCATGAATTTTCCTTCAAAACTCTAACCATATAATCACATCCTTTATGTCAAGTCCTGCCACATATGTCCTCACAAAACCACATAGAAATGAAATAAACTTCATAAACAAAGTATGCTGTTATCTCAATATTCAAAACTTCAATAGACAAATAAGTCCTAGCAGAATTTACCAATAGCTGCAAAAAAGAGACCAATCTCTGCATTGCACGAAAAGGGAAGTAACAGCGAGAATAGAAAAGTCTTTTTAATGAATTTTGAAGTATCAAGGGAGATTGATAAAATCAACTCATTTTGAAATAGACATACTAAACTGTAAAATGACCCTGTAATCAGGGGCTATTATAAAATTCTGCCAAAAAATATGCAATAGTTGGCACAAAATCATGAGTTGATATAGGACAACTATTTACCACCTACTAAAAAAGTTCAAACTAATGGACGAAACTCGGCCAAAGTTTTATAAATAATATTCAGGGATGCCACTAATCCAAACCCCAAAACTCAGACGCCATTCTTGGTTGATTGTAGTACATGGTACAGCCAAAAAGAAACATGAGGGGATGCATCCCACTCACATAGGAGTTCTATTCTTCTCTTCCCCAAATTTAGGGAGACCAGTAGACATCCAAGGAGTAGAGCTACTGATATAAAATTTGATGCTAGTTGATGGAGTTTTAACTAGGAAGAATGGTGGCTAGCATCGTTTGTAAGGGATTGCATGTGTAATAGGTTGGTGGCAAATGTGATGGAAAAAAAAAATGAATTAGAATAAGTAGTCACCATAAATAGGGGACCTAGGGGTAGCCAGTAACTCAAATCTATCCCAATTTCAATGGCTTATTCAATCACTCAATGGAGAATAGCATCGCACCAATCCAAGAAGAGGCAGGAAGGCTAGCTGAAAACTTGCAACACTAATCCCAATCACAATAGTTTATGGTTTTAAAACTCTTAAGAGAGAGAGAGAGAGATCTAGAGTTTTGAACAACAAATTTGATTTCTTCCCAGGATTATGCTTATCAACAAAGAGAAACTAGTCTTTGTAGCTCTCATTGGTTCCCTTGGATCAATTTTTGTCAATGGTCAAAGTAGGGAGAGACCAGGAGGTTAAGGTGACGTTCCTGGAGGGGTATACAACCGACTCTAGGCTATTGGCAATTGCAAATAAGTTGTGGCTGAGAAAACAAGAAGAAAGGAAAATTTGGATTTTAAACCTTGATTTAGAGGATGTAACTTAGAGTGTTTTACTTATTGCCCTAAAAAAGGTTTAAATGACCTAGAAGGGTCTAATAAAAAAGTAATTATAAATTATAACGCACTAGCCCTCCTCCTTAAGAAGATATGCAATGTATGGCACATGTCATACATGGTCATGTGTCAAACATGGCTTGAACACGAGTCAAACAAGGTAAAGGCATGTTCAATTAAAATAGTATTTTTAAAAAATTAGACACATAAGTCCTAAATATGTAACGTAAAAATTATTTTAAAATATAAAACCTTTTTATAAAATTTCTTAAGAGAAAAATTTTACTTATATTACAGTAGCCCTGTAACTCGTATCCTTCGAACATTTGACTAAGTGCAGCTAGGGTTTTATTTCGAAGGCTTGGCGACGACATCCGATGACACTTGAAGGTGGCACAACAACAACATCAGATGAAGACGCACCTCTAATGTCCCCCAAACAATCACGGTCCCGCATCACTACATCATCGTTACATCTTCATACCATGACGATGGCATCTAATCATCTCAACATTGATGAGTGATGCCCTTTGTTGTCTATCATCTCCCCCCCCCCCCCCCCCCCCCCCCCCCCCCCCCCCCCTACCACTAAAGTTAGCAAATAAGGTTTTGAAATCAAGACATAATTCTCTAACAATTAGCAGCATATTCATGGCAAAAGACATTTCTTCCCATATGAGGAACTTCTTGTTATTGTTTTCATATTCAAAATAATATGATAAGTTTCTATCAAAATGTGCCTTTCGATTGAAAATTTAGTTCCATGCACTATTTTTAAGATCAACTTCAAGTCCATGTCTTTTTGCTTTAGTCATGAATGTTCTTACTAGAAATTTGCAAGAGGATGTATCATGGTGTATGTTTTTTGTTGATAATATTCTTCTTGTTGATAAGACTTTAATCATGAAGGACAATCTTAGAGTCTAAAGGTTTTCGTTTGAGTGGATCTAAAACTGAATACATGGAGTGTAATTTTAGTGGTAATAGATCTAGTGAGAGTATTGTGACTTTGGGTGATCAAGTCATCAATAAGAAAATAAATACAATTTTTGACGTTGTTATATCCTATCCCCTTTCAAATTTTAGATTTAGATTAATGTTTATTACATCAAATAGAAATGTTTCAAAGGAATATGCAATCATTATGTGCCCATTTGTTTACTTCCAACAATTCATTATACTTGTATATTATCAACTTATCCCAAACAAACATTTGCACTCGCGGATTAACACGTTCAACTAAGTAGCTCATTCCCTAGTTTTGGGAAATTTTTCAGGAGACCCGACTCTTAGGTGATGGCTGATCACCCGAGATTTACTTACAGACGACGCTTACCGGGTGACAGGTTCCTTTACTGTCTTTAGTAGTAGTAGATGTTGTAGTTATTTTTTTTTAATTTTGGATGGCATGTAGAAATTGTGTAGAAAACATTTTATGGTCATCTTGTATATTTTGATAGACTTGTTATGATAATGTTGTAGAGGCGCTTTATTTATTTTGACTAGCTAAAATTGAATAGAATTGTTGTTGAGATAAAAAATTTCGCGTCCGATCTCGTTCCCGCCTCATATCTACGAGCTAACCGGGCCGGATCGTGACAACCAAAAAAATAAATATTCATACTAACTCAAGTATGGAAGCATGCATATTGCAATGAGCCATTATAGGTATTGTAATATATATACCAATTGACATTTCTTTTGGATAAGATTTACAGCCTTTAGCCTAACAACAGATCACAACATTACCAGTCAAATTCTATAACCAATATTAAAATGTACTTTCTTATCAAACTCTGAGCTAAATGTTAGCAAGGCAGCCACAAATAATTCAATATTCAATATGCATATAGGCATGTTCGTCTAAAAAGGGATCTTAATACACGCCTTATCAACAAGGGGGAGTACATGCAACATCATAAAAAATGGCGTTCACGGCAAGATCCAAGAACTTCAACATCCGACAAGTAATACGGACCGAATCACGCCAGGAAATGGCGCAATCCTAAATTGGAAGAACAAACAGATCTGTGCTTCACACGAATGAAATGCCATCACTGCTAAAAGAAAACGTCCATATATGTGAGCAGCTGGGAAAATTCTAACCTGTAGAAACCCTAGAAAGACGAAAAGAACAATAATTGAAATAGAGGAAAGCTGGACGTGGCGAACGAGAGCAATAAAAGCATACACGTTGCAGATGTGACAAGGAAAAGAATGCAGCGGAAGAAAGGGGACACTTATATGAGATGCTGAGAGCGTACCAGAATAGCTGCGAAGAGAATTTTCAGGGTTTCTGACGGAGGAAGGAGAACCTGACGCTATTTGATGCCGTGGGAAACGAAATTACTTTCCTGTCCTTCATCTAATGGGCTGAAATTTGGGCTAGCCCAGCTACTTTTCGAAACAACGCAATACTACTGCTATGTCAATATTTATAGGCTGAAAGAAAGACTGTGAATCCAAGCGTAGCTGGGCTGGCCCAATTTTCAGTTCAAACAGTATCAAATCCACAAATTTATATAGATTCCAACAAGAAAAAATAGAGATACAATTTATATTATTATGAATTTAAAATTTATTTTATTTATTTTAAAATAAGTATGATATAATTTATAAAAATATAATATTAATCTTAAGTTAAATCAAACAACTTTTAAATTTATTTGATATAAATTATATCGTAATATTCTAATAACTTTTTAAATTGTTACTATCGAGTCGCATACAAACAACTCCTTATTTATAAATTCAAAGTCATAAATGCAACGATGTGGTCCATTTTGTAATTAGACAAAGTTTGAATGATTTCATCATGATCGAGACATTCTGATCTTCGTTCTGAATGATATATTGTCTACAAATAATAATCAATCGTCATCTTTTTTGCTTACATTGACCATGTCATATATATGGAGGTAAACAATACTCAATAGCAACAATTCAAAAAATCATTCGTAAGGAAAATTTATAGCATTATTTTTGCGTGTTTTTTCCTGTAATACTTCCTATTAAAATCAATATAATTAATAAAAACAATGATGATTGGGCATTTTAACGATGGTGATCTGATGGTTTTGTCAAGCGGTTGCCCAACGACATCGATCGAGCGATGGTTTGAAGGCGGCATTGAGCGTGATTCGACAATGATGTTTGGGTGGTGGTTAGGTTATGACGATCGATGTTGGTCCAATGCTGATGGTCGGAATGAGGCCCGATTTTGATGCTCGAGTGGTACTATGAGATCCTTATGATTTTAAAGCTCTCCTGAATCTTAATTCAAAGCTCCCTCACCTATTCATAAAGAGAGTATGAGTATATATATTTATACGCTTTAGAGTGAGATATGTCGTGTAAATATTAACAAAATCATGAACACTCCATTGGGCAACCTGTCTTAATTACCTTGATCATATTATCTTTTCTTCAGCAATAAAGTACATTATTAATGTCAGAAATTAAAACATATTGGGCTCATTAGATTCATCTCATCAATATGCTCGATTTGCATGCAAGTTTAACGATCATTTAATAATTAAATTAATGCCCTTAAATTTTAATTACGCTTCAAGTGCTTGATCTAAAGCTTATTGAGACTTAGATTGGATCACTTTTGTTATTGTTGTGTAGTCACGTCGAGACATTATAAATTTTGTTGAAATCGTTGTTTATATGATCATGAATTCAATGTTAGAAGCATTTAATTTAAATAAGTATCAAGATTTGCTCGAGTTCAAATTGATTTTCATCGTAGTTTCAATTATAATGCACAAATCATAATTTAATCTAATTTTAAATGCACTATCATTCAACAACAACAACAATTTCATATTTAAATCTAATGAAAAATGTCATTTCTAATATGTTATAGTCAATTCTTTTCAGATCTACATTTATCTTCATTAAAATAGGCCAAATTTATTATACTAGTGTAAATGCACGTGCACATGATACATGTTAATAATAATTTTAAACAAATTAAAAATGATATAATAAAATATATAATTAAGTTATTACTTTTTATATCAATGATGTTAAATTCTATTTAAATATTGCATGCACTACTTGCATATTTATAAAAAAATTATACATAATTAATAGGCATATTAACTTTTATCATTCTAATACGTACACTCATTTAAGTTAGATGAAAAAATAAGAATCAAGTTTATGTATAATATTAGAGTTTCCAATCAATTGATTTTGAAATTAATATAGCACATGCAAGAAGACTAAGGCTTTGTTTGGGACGACTTTCTTTATGCTTCTTAAAGCAGTTTTTTAGTACAAATTTTTTTAATTTTGTACTATAAAGCTACTTTAAGAAGCAGAAAGAAAGCCGTCCCAAAAGAAGCCTAAATTAGTTGTTAAAAAAGAAAAAAAGTTTAGCTATGAAAACCCTATCACAAATGCATGCTTATAGATCACAACAAACCATATGGCTAAGTATAATCGCCGTAAATTTGTTGAATTTAAGGGAAATTCATGTTTGATCGACCTAACTCATTAAACAAAGGAGCCAACTTTGCAATAAGATATAGGTTTAGCTTGGAACAGTTTTCTTACTACTTCTTAAAACTGCTTTCTATTACAAAAGTTATATTTTTGTACTAAAAATAAGCTTTATGAAGCAGTAAGAAAACCATCTCAAATGAAGCCATAATTTTAACAAAAAAAAAAAAATCTAATTTAAGTATTTGATTGACAATAAAAGTCATAATTTATTGAACTTGTTAAGAATAAAAAAATAAGTCGAACTAAAGCTAATTAACAGGTGAGCAAGATCAAAGTCATTTTTCTTAAAATATAAAAAAAAAAAAAAAACAATATTCTGTTAGTCCATAAATATGCTTTTAGAACAGCACAAAAATATAAATAATTAATATCTTCTCACAAATTTATTGGTAAAAACTCTCTATCATATAATATAATAAAATCATTAATATGCTAAGGCTTCAACAAAATATTATTTTTTTTTGTAAAAAAAAAAAGAGCAAATAAAATAGAAAGGAAAACAAAAAGTTTGTAAAGAGAGAGTGAGAGTGAGAGTTGCATTTATGAAACAAAATATACAAATTGAATCCTAAAGCATCAAAAGGAAAAAAGAAAAGTTCAATAATTCATGCATGTTTATAAGAAATAAGAAATATGGGTTACATATGTGAATAAAAATAATAGATGAATTCAATGAGGCCTATTTCACATTCATTTCCTAATAATAACAATCTAGATAACAGGCATGAATATCATTTGCAATCAAGAAATGAATCAATCTTTGTAACTTGACAAAATGATTTTAAGTAAACATAAAAAATTGTAGACATATGATAGTGTGACACTGATATGAAAAGTAAAGCAGTAAAAAATCTATCCCACACAGTCTCCTAAATAATATATGTTAACTTGGAGCTCGTAGTTGGCTGATCTAACACTTTGACATCATCAATAGGCCACTAAACATTAAAGACAAGCTTTTGCAAAGAAACTTCTAAAAAAAATGATCAAAATGAAGCAAAAAATAAAGCAATTCAGATAAGTTAAAGTCAAAATATATACCATATAACAAATCCACATATAATATGAAATCTGGGATTTTAAATAATTAGACCATATGAATAATAACCAACAATAAGGAATATAAACATCAAACCTACTTATAGACAAGCTATAAGCCATCCGATGAAAGAATAAAAATCAACCCTCCCTCATGTAAGTACCTGAAAAGACTTCTCCATTCTCTCTTGATTGGAAGCATATCTCCCCTAAAATATATAACATATAACAAATCCACATATAATTTCAAATAAGGAATTTCAAAAAATTAGACCATATAGACAATTATCGACAAAAAGGAGAGTGAATATCAAACATACTTGCAAGCAAGCTATGAGCCATCTTATGAAAAAAAAATCACCTCTCCCCCATGTAAGCACCTCAAAAGACATCTCCATTTTATGTTGATTGGAAGCCTCTCTCCCCCGTGACGATCTCATCTATCTACTTTCTTATGATCCTGAAATGTTTTGGGATGTTAAACCATTCCTTCTCAATTTATGAAAATATGCATCTTATATCTCAAAGCATGGGATATCATAGGGAAAACAAGCATGAGGTGTACAACACAGCTGACACAAACAACATCATCAAAAACAACATTATAAGGTATGTCAAGGTTGGCATTGAAGTTGGCAAGCACATTATGAAGGGTTGATTCGTCAAAGAGAAAATCACCAAAGAAGCTTGTAGCTATATAAACAATAAAGCAAAGTGCTAGTGATGTCTCCGCAATAGGCTTTATATGGGAATAGTATTCGAGTTCATTGTCTATGCTTTGAACTGCACAACATCAATCATAAGTATATGCAGTTTCCAGAGGGACATTTTAAGTTGAAATAGAACATGAGGCAAAGAAGTGCTAAAGAAAAAGGAAACAATAAAATCAATGAACGTGCACCATATCACTTGTGTACAATCACATATTCTTATAATTTGGACAGATGAAAATTTAGTTAACAAAATCAATTGGCTAATTTAATTAGTAATATTTACTTCATTGTAATAAAATATGTCAAAAATATTAACAACCTAAACTCATTTCTCAGAGCTCCAAGCTTTTTCCTCTTCAACACACTTGGCTCTCAAATCATCTCCATCATTTAAATCCTTAATCTCTTTCATGGCTCACCTTATTCATTTATCTTCCTCGAATGGATCGAAGCAGCGCATAATGATGTAAATAACCAAAAAAATGCAAGAAATTTTTTATTAAAAAAAATTTTGCTCAAAATTAATTAACTTTTTTACCAAGTTCATTATTACTTAAAAAAAAAAAATTCATACCATTGAAATGGTAGAAAAGCCGCTACAAGAACCATAACTGTGGGTGAACAAGTTCCATATAGATTCCAAATCCGATATCACATGAAACAAATTTGGCATTGATATGCTTCCATTTAGCAATTGACAATAACAATCCCAATTGTAATCACAACAAAACTGCAACAAGAGCAACATATAATGCTGACATGTAACTCAAATAATCTACAAGAGAATGTAACATAACTCTATTCAAAAGAGAGCATATTTGAAATCACTATTTTTTCCCCTTTCTTTCTTCTTATTTCCAACTTTCATTTCAATATCATTGAGTGCTAGTTGTGTTTCAGTCTCTCATGTTTGAGACACTTTATGAATTTTCTTACAATAGATGAAAACATGTGATAAAGCTATTGATAATATGAAAAAAAATGCGAACTTTACCTTGTTGCACATGAAAATCTAAATTCACCCAACAAATTATAATGAAAATCTTCCTATAGCCATAAACACCCGAGCTTCAACGAAAACAAAGAACACCACTGAAGAACTACAATCTTGCTTATTCATTCTCTATTTCCAAATCAAAGAAACTATAAGAGAAATAATAAAACTAAATCATTTACCCCGCCGAAGAAGATGAAATAGGGGATGAATCGTTTTCTAACTTGCTTATGAGGTATTTCACCAAATGGGAAACTGATGGTGAATTGAGGGAGAGAGAGTCAGAGAGAGGAATCTATAGTGAGAGCATAAAATGTAAGAGCGCAAATTAAGAGCGACTCATTTCAAACTCTACCTCATGTGAAGCAAGCGAAGAAGCTTCTTGAACGAAGCACGTGAAGCGAGGAGGGAAAGTTGCCGACGAGCTTGTTTCGATTGTGAGAGGTAGGAGGGTTGGGATCGAGGGCTGTGGGATTGGGCTTGTGCGAATGGAATACAAAGCAATGTGCACAGGAGCTGAAGGATCATGCCACATGGAGGGTTACATGTAGTTCCTCAGGCCAATATGAAGGAAGAGACACGAAAACAAATGGTGTAAATTAATTAGGTTTTAAAAAATAAACGATGAGGTTTTGTTAAAGGAAGAATCTTAAGTGCCTTTTATATACGATATAGATTTCTAAATTTATTAATCATTAAAAATATGATGAAATGACATGATAATATTAAAAAAATAAAATAAACTACTAGGATTACATTTGGCTCGAAATTCAAGCTCCTCCTTTAATAGCATAGATATGCTCTTAATGAGAAGGCCAACAATTTATGTTTCCAAACCAGCTAAGACATTAAAAAGGATAAATTTTTATGATTTTATATAATTATATGCTTCATGGAATTTTTTAATGTAATTACTAATTAAGCACGAGATTAATAAAAAAGGTTTTTTTTAAGGGATGAAGTGCAGCGCTACCATCCATCGAACTGAAAGCAAGATTTTTCCGACATTAGATCAAGTGCGGCCGACCACATGGTCCGATCCGGAGCTCAGCTGCTCTCTTTAGTCGCAAGTTACTCTGCTTTGATTCTTCGAGTTTCCTGCCTCCTCCGCTCTTTTTCCTGCACGTGAGTCCCCGAGGAGGGAGACAAAATCACAATGGATCGAGATGCTTTCACTCTCGGTAACTCTTACCTTCTTTCTATGCAGTTCTCCGCCATGGGAATCGCGTCCACACCGAGCTCTGTTATTGGAAATTGAGGCGGAGATGACGACACGGTGACACCGGGCCGGTTATCGGTGCTTGAAAGCAACAACTCAGAGAGAGGGAAAAAACTAAAAAAAACCCTCCGAGTACGCTCAAAAACCCTCCATTTCTTCTGATCTCGGCTTCTCTGATGAGTCTTTACCTCTGTTGTTGAATACTCGCGGAGGCAGGGAAAAGGAAAGAGGAGACATTGAGAAGACCGGCTTGCAAGTGAGAGAGAGAGAGAGAGATAGAGAAAGAAAAAGATAGAGTGAGTGTATTAAGAGGCGCTGGTGGGATAATGCAGCAGCATCTGATGCAGATGCAGCCCATGATGGCAGCTTACGCTTCTCCGAACCAGGTCACCACCGATATCATTCAGCAGGTCTTTTTCTTCCTTTCATCATCGAAGTTGGTTCCTTGTCACCATTTATTATCACCTCATTGTTTTTCTTATTATATATTGCTACGGCTCAGGTTTTACTTGTTTTCTTCAGTGTTTTTTTGCGAACTTTATGAAATGTTTGGGAGTGGTAAAGAATGGATTTTGAATGCTTGAGGGCCGAGTTTGGCCAGTTTTTTTGGTGGCACAGCTAATGATCTTGATATTTATGTTCTCTTTTCTATGTTCTGTGAGGCGTTGGGGGAGTTTGAGTTCTTTTTTTTTGGTTATTGTGGGTTGTTTTTCTTGAGACTAATTGCTCTGATCTCCTTTTTCTGATACTGATCTTGGTGGATGGTTTATGCTCTTTCCTTATTATTTTTTGAATATTTTCTGAAGTTTTTTAAAACACGAGACGATTATCATGGTGTTTTGATCATTCTGAACTGAAATTTCATAGCTGAAAAGAAAAAAAAAAAAATCTTGTTTGGAAGAAAGCTAAAAGCACCATATTAGTCCTTTCTCGTAGTCAGAGTTTTATCTTTAGTACATGCTTGTACTAAAATAAGTCATGTTACCTCTTTGATCTACATCTACATGGCTCTTTATTTTTTCCTTTTACTTGGAATAGCTTTTTTTTTTTTGGGAAAACTGTGTAAGCATTCCATAGCCACTGGTGGGTATGACTTCTTTTAGGTGTAGCTTCCCCGTTGTTCACAAGTTATTGCTTTTGCTTTGTCTTGCTTTCTTTCTTTCATAATCTCTCCGACGTCTCCGTCCATCCATGCTAAGTAGATCATCATCATTAATGTTATCCAACTATTTGGAGTTGGCTTTATTGCTCTATTTGTTCTTGTGGAGGCTTCAAGAGGTCTTCAATCCAAGAAATTATTAAGTGCAGACAATGTACCGTTTTAGTTGTGTATGCAATACTTATATTATTTGCTCCTACTAATTTTAGTTTGAACTCATTTTGTACTAATATTTTTGAACAACTTTTATCCATGTTATCTTTGATGTTTTGTGTGTACTTAGGCTTCTTTTGGGACTGCTTTCTTACTGCTTCTTGAAGCAGCTTTCTAGTAGAAAAAATTAATTTTTGTAGTAGAAAGTTGCTTTAAGAAGCAGTAAGAAAGCCGTCCCAAATGAAGCCTTAGTGTTATCTTTTCAACGAATCTCTCTTTTAGTAATTTCCTTGCTATAAATCTGGCAAATGGTTAGTACAACTTCAATTTTAGCAGATAAAATGGCCATACCTCATTATAGATAAACAGCCTGACGTTGTCATTGAAAGAGAGCTTTTAGTGCTGCTATAAAGCTCACTTCTTTGTATACCCCAAAACCCTCTCATTGTTATTTTGTTAATGTTTTAACACTATTTGAACAAGCCACCATATACAAGCAAAATCCAATTGAAATTTAGAAGAAAATTTTAACACTATAAAGCTCACTACTATTAACATGTCCTCTCTTTTTTGAGACGTTCTTAATGTTAAGAAAGTTTAAATTTACCGCAATATTACCAAGTGCATTTTTGGAGCTTGCTCTTGCTACCTTGGATATATGAGCCGCCTGACAGCATCTTTGCCAACCTTACATTGTCTTGGTGGTCCGGGATGCTCGCTCTTCCCGATTAACCAAGATTGTTTGAAAGCCCAAAAGTAAGTTGATTGGTCTAAGCAGTCTCGTATCTTACCTGGGAGCTTTGCACTCCTCTCTTCAAGGCTTTATGGAATACAAGGGAGTTTACTTGAATGCCATGACATGAAGCGACATTCCAAGTATTAAAGCAATATCTCATCTATCTTTTTGTTCTTTGCAGTCTAAGGGAGGAACTTGGATTGATTTAGCTCAGAGTCCTTAATTGGATGATAAGCTTGATATTTGTTTGTAAGAAAAGTTGGAAGCAACGTGTCTATTATTATTGCCATTCATTCTTTATGAGATGTAGAACAACATTACCAAAGCATGGGCAAGTTAGTGCCTACATTGGTATCATTCACTCGTTCTTTACAATCTTACTTCCAGGCTTATCCATCAATGTTTTGATTAACATGACACTTTAGAAAGGTCTTTAATAGATTGAAATGTCTTGTAGATTGTCATTGAATACCTGCTTGCACTTGGTCTTTTTTGTTTCAAAATACGCCTTGCTTGAAGAGCCTGTCTAATCATAATTCGGGTTAGAAGAGCCTGAGTATGAAGCCATCTTGGTCGATCTCCATTTCATTGCTGACTTCAACATTGAGAATCTTGTTTTCCATGTCGACTCATAGATGGTGGTAAACCAAACTGTGGGTGGGTATGAAGTTCATGAACTCGATCTTTTCTTAGGATGATGATAGCGAAGTTCAACCATTTTAAGGCTAAACATATTCTTAGGATGAAAATCAATTGACAGATTTATAAAAATCCTCATGACATGTTCAACTATGGGCTCAATTTGCTTACTACCAATGAGCTGAAAGTTATGCTAGCCGACAAACTTCTTATTGGTTCACTTCCATTAGAAATTATCAAATTGTTGGTTCCTATTGGTCAGTTGTGGCCATGAGCTCGACCCTTTGTTAGGACGGGGATGGTTAAGTTCAACCACTTTGAGGCTAAACATATTTTTATGATGAAAATCAATTGACCAGTCTATGAAAACCCTCATGCCATGTCCAATTTTGGGCTCAACTCGCTTACTCGCTTACTTGCAAATTCCAATGAGTTGAAGTTGTCCTAGCTGCTTATCGATTCACTTCCATCAAAAGTTATCCATTCGATGGTTCCTGTCATGCAGTTGTGACCATGCATGGCTGCTCATATACTAGACGATTTGAATTATCTTGATAGATGACATTCTCCTTAAAACAAGCTTCTTCGCAATCTCTCTTTGCTAACTCTTGCCACCAAATCCTAGGAAGTGCATGACGATTAGTGTAATTGTTGCTCAACTAGACATGTTTTCTAAAAGCATCTTCCAACAAGGTTTATTCTTGTGAACATTAGAAAGAGAGGTGACATAATTCATAAAGGGATGTCTAATTTGCTTGTTCTATGCAAGGATACTTCACCAACCCATTATCAACCTCTGACCACCCCATGGAGGAGAGGAACTACTTTAGTCATCTTCTTTGGGGGGCGGTCAAAGATGCTTCTTGCTCGTCTTAGCTGATCACTTCATGAAGTGGGCTAATGTGTAAAGGTGGAGCTTCTTATCTCTTGGTCTTCATTTACTTGACTTTGACTTTTTGAATTGTGACGACGGAATTGGCACAGTTAGTTCGATAAAAAATTTGTTTATTACATCTACAGATTGGGTCCTTTTCAACTAGCTCATCGATTATCTAACTCTTGATAGCTAGCCTTCTTGGTGTCTAAATTTGAGTTCTTAAAGTGTGCATGTTGTATCCTATGCCAGTTAGCCAACATTGATTGCTTATGGTTTGCTACATAAGTTATTATAACTGATCAGTACACTAGTACATGCTTCATATGTGGCGGCCTATAGTGTGACCTTTTGCAATCATCTCATTATTCCTTTGCATACACAAATAGTATAGAGTGTCTTTAGCTTGCTACCAACCAAACATGGTCTCCACTCGATAATTTTGTCGGTCTACATGACTTCAACATATGGCACTTAATGCACTCAACTTGACCCATGTCCTCTATTTTTTGTATCACTCTTATGTTGATGTGTGCTCCCTTATTACGATAGTAAGGGCACACCCTTGTTTGTAACTAGGGGTGTAAGTGAGTCAAGCTAACTCGTGAGTTGGCTCGGGCTCGACTCAATAAATGGCTTGTGAGCCAAGCTCGATGAGCTAATGAGCTAAGCTTGAGTCATCCCCGATTCAACTCTTTAGCTCGTGAGCCAGCTCTTTTAAAAATATTAATATAAAATATACTTAAAATATATTAGAATTTAGGATTTTAAGTACAAAGTTATTAAAAATGTTTAAAATTTATTTATCACTTTTTTATATTAAGTGATTTATTATTATTATTTATGATTTCTATTTTGTTATCATTTTATTATAATAATTTCTTATATCATAATCATTTTTTCTATTTCATAATAACGAGCTAACTAGTGTGCTAGCTTGAACTCGTAGATTAAAGCTCGAGCTCGAACTAGATAATTAATCAAGCTCAAGCTCAAGCTCAAGCCAATGGTAACTCGAGCTTGGCTCAACTTATTTATCACTTGTAATATATATTCTTAAGACTTTTATTGGGGTCCACAACTTTATTGAGACATTGAAATGTTGTTATTGTGATCAATCTCTCTCTCTTGCTCTCTTGTATTTATTCTCCCTCTAGCCAGAAAAGTCAATGACTCTGTTTTCTCTTTTACTCGGATGTAGTTCAACTTGACGACTCTCCCTTCCCTTCAACATGCCCTCCATCAACCATCCCACAAGATTATAGCGTTCACACCTGGACATCCATATATTCCTATCTTACTCTCCATATCACTGTCATTTTCATGCCATGTGTAGCTAGTTTCATTATGCAGCACAAATAGATAAAAATTGCCTTATTTTCTTTCGATCTTTATAAGTTTTAAACTTTTATGTTAATTTTATTGGACTTTTCTATTATAAACATGATTCATTTATTTGTGGTTTGATTGGGCGGTGCCTTGTTTGGTCAAATGGAAGTACACCATCATTAAATGGAAGTAGAACGAATTTCTCAAATTTCTCCTCCTATGAAGTTTTGGTGTCTGAATAAGTAATCACATGTGCTGAAATTATTTTCATTCATTAACTAATCCTTGACCGGCTATTTTAGTCTTATTATATGCTTCAACAGTCTATGCCAAGCTTTGTCGGATTTTGAATCGCTCTAATAACCATAGTATGGTGCAAATATATATATATTTTTAATCATCCTTTACGCTTTAGGCAGGTAGAGTTGACTACTTGACTCCATCCATTTTTCCCAAATCCACCATGTTTTTTTGGAGTCATTTCGGCGGTCAAATTAGTGTGGATCCTTCTGTTTTTATC